TGATAAGTTCAATTGTCCTTATTTAGAACAAGATTCAAAATTTAAGGTCAAATATGTCATACTTAAAAAGTCAGGAACTAACGTGACACAAGTTCCAAACTATAAGAATTGTTAGTATAATTTACCCTTTATTTTATATAGATTTGTATATCACCATTTATTTATTTATAGTCCTTTGACCAATGGTTAGAAAAAAAAAACGGACCAACCCAATCAAATTTTGTAACTTCGACACTATTTCAATAGTCAATTATATGAATCATTGAGTCACCTTATTACATTGAACTATCGCGAGTCACGAATTGTGCACCGTGGCCCAGCCTCTTTTTACCCGTTCAAGCCTGTCCTTGTAAGCGTCGTAATCCAAATCTTACAATAAATAAATTCACATTTATTGGGAGGGGAGTTTTACTTATCTCTTATTTCACCGTTTCTAATTACATTTTTAATGATGTGATAAATAATTTTTTTTTTTAAAAAAAAAGTTTTAAAAAATTAATTAATTAATATTATTTATCGTCTCATTCAAAATATAATTGAAGATAATAAAATGCGAGAATAAAATATTTCTCTTTACGAGGTTGTGAAGATAATAGAATATTTTCGTTTTGGCAACTTAAACAAAAAATTGCGTTATGTAAATTCATCAAAAATGCCAAATCATGCAAAAACGCTAAAAATCCTACAAAAACGCCAAATCATGCAAAAACGCTAAAAATCCCATTCGGAAAGACCCAAAAAAGCAACTTAGCCATTTACCAAACTACTCTCTGAAATATTATAATTAATTAATTTAAAAATCAAAAAGTGAAGATATTTTGATCATTTTAGAGTGATGTGACATTTTTAAAAAATATTAAATCAAAAATAAAAAAAGTCAACTTTTTATCAACTTCCCAAATCACTTCCAAAAAAATCAAAAAGCTTAATAAAAAATCAAAAACTAAGGTTGCATTTGGTAGAGTTTTGTAAATGTGATTTTAGAGTATGAGTTGTATTTTGAGTTTGTGAGTTGTGGAATTAAGATTTGAGTGTAGAAAATTTGTTTGGTTATGATTTTGAATAGAGTGTTGAATTGAGTGTGAAATTGAGTTTTGAAAGTTTGATTTGACATGTAAAGTAAGAAAATTTGTTTGGTTATGAATTTTGGAAAGAGTTTTCAAAACTTAATTCAAATTATTATAACTTATAACAAAACACACACACTATTGAAAATTCTGATCAACATTCATAATCAATTTTTTTAAAAAAAATTCAATTAAAAAAAATTATTATTAATAGAAAATAACATTAATCAATTTTTTAATTGAAAATACTACAAAGGAAATAATTTTTTTTCAAAATAAATATTCAAAAAATTTAAATCATAAATATTTAAATAATTTAAATAATCTAAAAAAATTAATAAGTAAAAAATTAAAATAAATGTTCAAAAAATTTAAATCGTAAAAATTTAAATAATTTTAAATGTAAATATTTTAAATTTCAAAACAATTCTACACTCAAATCGTAATCAAACACATAAAACAAAATTCCATATAACTCGAAATTTCATACTACTTTCACAACTCTACACTCAAATCGTAACCAAATACATAACAAAAAAATTAAAATATTTAAAAATATTTTTATAAAATAGAGTTTGAATTTATTTTTATAAAATATTTTAAAATTTAAAAAATTAAAATCATAATTTTTTGAAATTAAAATATTTAAAAATATTCAAAAAATTTAAAAATTTAAAAAATCGTAACATATTTAAATATTTAAATATTTAAAATCTTAACAAAATTTAAATATTTAAAATATTTAAAAAATTAAAATATTGATTTGAATTGAGTTTTGAAAAGAGTTTTTAGTTATGTGTTTGGTTATGAGTTTTGAAAAGTAATGATTATTTTTTGAATTGAGTTTTGAAAAATAGGTGTAGAATTATGATTTGAAAGTTTCAAACAAACAATCCACTCAAATTAATGGGTAGAATTATATTTTGAGAGATTTATCAAACGGAGCTTAATTTTTTACCAACTTTCCAAAACACCCCGTAGACTAAGGGGTTGTTTGGAATGACCTAAATAAGTGTATTTTTTATCTTTTTACGAAAAAATGTGCAGAAAAGTAGAGAGATGATGTGATAGAAAAAAGATAAAAGGGTAAATTACATTTACCTCCCCTGAGGTTTCTGACAAATACAGGGACCTCCCCTGTGGTTTGAATAATTACAGTAACCTCCCCTACTTTACCTGACAATGTCAAGATTCCCCCAAAATTTGACCGCCGTTTATGCACCTAGCCGACCCTGCTGATGTCATCAACTGTAAATATAAAAATACCTAAAATGCCCTCAAGTGCCTATAATGCCTATAATGTAAATACTAAAGTGCCCAATGTAAACACTTAATTTTATTTTTTTATTTTAAATATATATTTTTTATTTAAATATTTTATTTTATTTTGTAAATATTTTAATTTTTTAATTTTAAGATTTTAAACTCAAAATACAATTTCAGACTCAAATCGTAACTAAACACATAACTCAAAACTCAATTCAAAAATTATTTTCAAACCTCATAACCAAACACATAACTCAAAACTCCACATTATTTTCAAAACTCTACACTCAAATCATAACAAAACACATAACAAAAAAATTAAAATATTTAAAAATATATTTATAAAATAAAATAAAATAAAATTAAAAATTAAAAATTTTAATATTTAAAAAATATATTTAACATAAGTTTGTATTTTTTTAAGTTTGTGCTTGGTTATGAGTTTTGCAAATAATTTTTGAATTGACCAACAAAACCATAAAACTCAATTCAAAAATTATTTTCAAACATTATACCCAAACATATAACTCGAAACTCTACACTATTTTCGAAACTCTATATTTGGTTAAGACTCTATGAGTTTTGAAAAGATTTTTGAAAATTTCTAATTGGAATTGTAATTCTAAAAGAAAACCAAACATGTTTCTAAAAAAAATATTTTTTCGGAACATGTTTGTACTCAAAACTCAATTCAAAAATTATTTTCAAAAACTCATAACTAAACACAAATTTAAAACTCAATTCAAAACTCAAAACCAAACTTTTTCCAAAACTCTATTTTAAAAGAAAAAATTAAAAAAATATATTTTATTTTTTAAAATTATTTTTAGAGTCATGATTTGAGTGTGGAGTTGTATTTTGAGTTATGAGTTTTGAAAAGAAAAAATTTATTTTGTTATAAGTTTTGAAATTTTTCGAATTTATTTTTTTAGGGTAAATATTTTATATTTTAAATATTTTTTATTTATTTTAATGTGCATTATATTTCATACATTTATGTGTTGTATTTTTTAATATTTTAAATATATTTTTTAAATATTAAAATTTTTTTAAAAAATTATTTTTTATTTTAAATGTATCATTTTTATTATAAATATTTTTAAATTATTTTATTTTATGGTTGTGTTGGTCAAAGCAAAGGGTTTTCTCGTCTTTACTTTATGGCAGTGATGTTCATCTTGAAGAAAAGGGTTTTTCGTCTTTTTGCAGGCAAAAGCAAGGGTAATATGGTCATTTTATATAAAACACTAACGTCGTTTGTGCAAAATAGACAGAATGGGGGAATCTTGACATTGTCAGGTAAAGTAGGGAAGGTTACTGTAATTATTCAAACCACAGGGGAGGTCCCTGTATTTGTCAGAAACCTCAGGAGAGATAAATGTAATTTACTCAAGATAAAAAGATAAAAAATGTGTACTTATTTTGAGTTGCCAAACTATAAAATTTGAGATTTTAATGATGACACTAACCTTTAAACGCGTAAAGAGACATAACGCGTAACGCGTAAAGATTGACTTTAATTGTCACCTATAAAAGAGATGATGCAATACACAAGACTTGAAGTGGTTGACAGCTTGCTCGTTTGATATTATTAAGGCTCCGTTTGGCAAGAGTTAAACGAGATTTTTTTGATTATTTTAGCCACAAAAGATAAAATTGGTTATTTTAGCCACAAAAAATAAAACATCACATCCAACCCATAATCATTACATTTTTCTCTCACAAAAAAAGTCAAAAAGTTAAAAAGCCCTTCCCAAACTAAACTTTTTAGCCTAAGCTAAAATAGCCAAAAAAACCAAAAAGTCAAAAAGCCAACCCACTTCCCAAACGGAGGCTAAAACAACAAAATTATAAAAAATGTTTAGTAACTCAAAATTTTATGATTTAAATGGTTCAAATTATTCAAAATGACGTTGTTTTAGTAGCTCAAAATTTTGTGACTCAAATGGTTCAAATCTGTCAAAACGACGTCGTTTTACACACATTTACACTCAAAATGACGTCATTTTGAGTAATTTGAGCCATTTGAGCCACAAAATTTTAAACTACCTAACATTGTTATAAAATTATTATGGAAAATGAGTTGGACCCCTTCAAGGAACCACCTCCTTTGACCCCCTCTCTTTTTAATTGGTCAGTTATTCTTTTTTCTTTCTTTATTTCCTTCTCCTCTAATCATTATCTGTCACGTGTGTGTGGGGTAGTGAGGGTGATAATTAGAGGGGTCTCAATCACTTCCCAATTATTATTATAATAATATTTATTCTTAATTATCTCTAAAAGTTTGTTTTCTAAAATCATAATTTGTTATGGTGAATAATGTGGACCTTTATTACTGCGTTGAATAAATCAATGGCAACTACTAGTCTTGATTGTATCAGTATATTTTATTTTTACAAACAAATTAAAAAGGTTAAAAAATTCTTTCTAAACGAGATTTTTTAGCTCCAAATTAAAATAGTTAAAAAATTAAAAAATCAAAAAATTAACTAACTTTCCAAATGAATCCTTGGAATTTATTTACAATGGAATTTGAAAATTATCAGACTTTTCAAAGATAGATATATGGAACAACTCCAAAAGAAGACTATGCAAGCAAATAGCTTTAAATGGTGTTGTACATGAAGTTGGTGTATTTTCGTGGAATTTTATTGTTAGCTTAATTTCCATGAGACTTTATTGACTTAGAAATATTGTGGTATGGAGACCTTCAAGTCTCTCTCTCTCTCTACAAAAAGGACCAAGTTCATAGTGTTTTTGCAACTATTTTTGCAGATTGTTTTCTTTTTTCTCCTCCATGGATAAGTTACATTACTCTGGTAAAAGGTCTTCCATGGCTGCTATAATGCTACTCCTTGGGGTATTAATGGCTACCCTGTACCAAACAGGTCTCTCTCTCTCTCTCCACAGCAAATTAGGGTTTTAGACACAAAAGTTTATGAACAAAATCATTTTTTAAGAACGAAATATTTTTGTTGCCAAAAGTATCATTCTTGTATATTTAGAGATGAAATTGCACATTTAGTAACAAATTACTATTATTTTAGGATCAAAATTTGTCTAAAAAAAAATTATTTTGGAACCAAATTATTTTGTCCAAAATGTATTCATTAACGATATTTTTAAAATTTTGTCGTTGAATTTTTTTTTTAACTTTTCAAATAACCTTTTAGCGATTACCTTCACAACAATAAAAATTAGTCACTAAATATTTTTTTGCATCAAAATTCACTTTTGGGGACAAAAAATTAGTCCTTAAAACTTTTATTTTTGTTGTAATCTCTTTCTCTAATAGGTTGTTCCTGTGTATCCCATAATCCCATTGTAGGTTTTCTATCAAAAATTTGAAGGGCATGTGGAAGAGAGCCCAGAAACCAGCGTCATCATTAGATATAATTGATTTTTTGAACTAATTTGATATAGTTCATTGTTATTACTTTTTAATATATGGCTGTAGCTCGAAGCAAGATTCGAATTCCTAACTTTAAGCTGTAGGAGTTCAGGCCAATTCTTGAATATTTTAGCAAAGGAAAACTATTTTTAATTATACAGGTCTTGTTACAGTACTGATGCGCCATCCACACCCACACGCACACCCACAAAGGCAATACCATTACCATTTCACTAGTGATAGGGATCATTTCTAATGATGCTTTTATTCCAACGAAAGATGGGTCGGGCTAATCCATGCTTCTAACAGGTCTGTTGGCCTTGAAGTTCATGGAGCGCTCCTGCAAAAAAGTCCAAGAGGAGAGGTAATCTCCTGGCGGATACTTCGACGATAGAGTTAGAATGGAATAGATTGATTGTGTCGAGAGAGGGAAGATGGGATGAAGAACTTAACATTTAACGTATTTCGGAAACTTCCGTATATCCTTTGCTCATCATTTCCTTGTCCATTCCAGACTGTTGTGTTGGCCGAAAGTCTATATTCTAACTCGCATCGTTCATAGTGAGTCTGTTTCCTCCGATGTAAAGGAGTTGTCGTATTTAATGCTGTGAGAGTCTCATTAATGACTGATGTGTGGGTGTAATTATTTTGTAGGATCTTTATCTGCTTATGTGGCAATGTCTCTGCTTGACAAGTGTTTGAATGTTATTTGGTCATGGCCTAGCGTTGATTTCTCAGAGTTGTCGGGCTTTGATCACTAGGATATGAACTGGGCCCTGATTCGTGGGTTGGGCCCTCTTGGGTGCCCATCGGTACCTTAGGTGCTCATCGGTATCAGTTTCCAAATTTCTTATATTCTTCAAAAAGATTTAGAATTCCATTGGGATTATTGTAAGTATTTGAGGGTAAAAAAAATAATGCCCAATTAATACATAATAGTTGGAATGAGTAGAGGATATTCTGATATGCCCAAACCGATCGAACTGAACCAATCCATCTCATTTTGAACAAATGTGTGATAACGAGCGGATGGTTGCAGATTGATTTTTTTCAGTTCGCCTGGTTTTAGATGGGTGATACATTTGAGATTCCTTTGACCGCAACCAAACTGCCAAACCGCGAGCACCCCTCGTAATTTATAAGATTTTGTGGTTTTAATTTGTTTAGATATTCTATTTGTGTTTTCAATTGAAAAAGAATTTAAATATTCTATTACATTTTTAATTTGCTTTCAATTTGAAAATCCTTTTATCAAAAGGCAAGTGTTGATATTTGATATTTTTGTGTAGACAATATAATGCTTAATTTTATCATTTTTTAAAAAAAATCAAATGAAATAGTTTTTAAATAAAAAAAAAGTAATGAAATAGTTTTGATAATGCATGATTTTCTTATATGTATTTATTATTGGTATTTGACAATTTACTTAATAATCTTTTGTTGAGTTGGATTATTATCCAAAATAAAAAATAAAAAAATTGACACATTATTTTATTCTGTTCAAAATTTGTAAAAGTTTAAACCGCTAAACTGATTCGCATCCATCTATTAATCCGTCAATCCGCATCTATCAATCCGGCAGACGGATGCGGATTAATTTTTTCCAATCCGCCAATCCGACAGATGGATGACGGATTAGAGGTTCCTCACCGCAACCAAATCGTGAACACTCCTACAAAATAGTATGTGTTTGGGAGAAAAAAAATTAGATACACACCTAACTTTTAAAATAGTACACAAAGTGATTGTCCCAAAACTTGAATCGATAACCTCAAAGTTATTGAAAATATTTGAGGATATATATATAACAAAAATGTTTCTTGGTTTTTAATAGTTTTAGTTTTTAGATGGATTTGTGATTAACAATTCAATATGGCATTAAGCAATTATAGTACAAACCTAATTTGTTTTGTTTATAGAATGCAGATGCCCAAATAGGAGTTTGTTATGGAACAAATGGTGATAATTTACCATCTAGGCAAGATGTTGTAGCTCTTTACACTCAACATGGCATCCAAAGAATGAGACTCTATGACCCAGACCAACAAGTTCTCCGAGCCCTTGGAGGCTCCAACATTGAGCTTATTCTAGGTATGCCAAACTCCCATCTCCAAACACTAGCTGTTAGCCCAGATGATGCAGATACATGGGTCCAAAACAATGTCAAAAACTTTAGCAATGTCAAAGTCAAGTACATCGCGGTTGGCAACGAAGTCGATCCATCAGACAACAGCACAGCTCAATTTCTTGTCGATGCGATGCAAAACGTGCACACCGCCATTGTCAATGCAGGGCTTGAAAACCAAATTAAGGTTTCAACTGCCATTCACAGTAGATTTCTTGGAAACAGTTTTCCTCCATCACATGGGTCTTTTAGGCCTGAAATTCCATTATCCTTCATCGATCCCATTATTATTTTCTTGTTGAACAGTGGTTCCCCATTGCTTGTAAACTTATACCCTTATTTCAGTTATGCAGCCGACACGAATAACATTGATCTTGATTACGCTCTATTCACATCTCCCTCAGTTGTGATGACTGATGGCTCACTCCAATACCAAAATCTGTTTGATGCATTGTTGGATGCTTTTTACTCCGCGATAGAGAAGGCAGGCAGTGGCTCTTTGGAGATCGTTGTGTCTGAAACAGGTTGGCCTTCAGCTGGTGGAACTGGTACATCTGTTGACAATGCAAGGATCTACAATAACAATTTGATTCAGCATGTGAAAGAAGGGACACCGAAAAGGCCGGGAAGGGCTATAGAGACTTACATATTGGCTATGTTTGATGAGAATTAGAAGAGCGGAGATGTTGAGAGACACTGGGGACTCTTTCTACCAAACAAACAGCCTAAATACCCAATCACGTTACAGCCCCTAAATTTTAACTGGATCTTATCATGTTATTGACAAAGGGTATGTTTGATTTATGGATTTGAGGAGGGATTTAGAAAAAGAAATGGAAAAGGTAGGTGAAATGTGAATAAAACATACTTATATTTCACCCTACATTTTACACATCTTTTCTTTTTCAATTTCTTACCAAATCTATGAAGCAACAAGACCATTCGAAGTAGCATGAACTGCCCAAATAAAGACTTTTTTTAAAAAAAATAATCTCTTACATAACATTTGGTAACATATATGCAAAAAAAAACTTGATAATCCCAAAGCATATATATCAACCATTCTAACAATGAAAGTTAGATTTTATTGCCTTTGTCTGTGAAGAAATATGAGGGAATGCATTTATTTCCGTTGTGTTTGGTTTAGAAATTTGGATAGGAATATAGAAAGAGATTTGAAAAGAAAAAAAAAAAATGAAATACAAATAAAATATAATTATATTTTACTTATATTTCATATACCTTTTCTTTTTTGTTTTTTATGAAAAATGCTTGGGAACACTAATTAGTGCTCCCACTAGTTAGGTGGCAGTGGGTCCTGTCATTAATGATGTGATGTTTTGGTCTTGGAGTTGTATTTTATTTTTATTTTTTTTATTTTTTTAATATATTAGTGCTATTAGTGGTGATATTTTTAGTGGGATGAATCATTGTTGGTTTTTTATATACCTGTCTAAATCTATGAACCAAACAATCTTAGTTTAGGCTTCTCATGTTTAAATGATTTGAAAAGGTGATTTTGTAAGACCCTCAAATATATACCATTTATGAAAAAATTAAAATAATCTAATAGTAGTAACATTTTTATTTTATCAAACTTATCTTTAAAAAAATAAATAATATATTTTAAAAAATATATTTTTCGTCTATATGACAACCAGTGCCTACAAAATAAAAAAGATTTCCAATAGTTGGTACCATTTCCAAATTCTATAAATTAGGAAAAAAATATAAATCACTCATTAGTAAAACTTCCACCAAATTTTAGCAAATGAAAATATTCCTATTGAGGATTTCTTGCAGACAAAATAACCCTCATAATAAAAAGCTGGAAATTTGAATTTATTTTGTACATCATAATACAAATACAAGTATAAAACCCCCAAATTGGAGGCGAAAAATGACTGAATAGTTGAGTAGAGGTTTTACCTCTGCAAATCGCATATAACCCAGTAAAAAAAATCAAATTTATTTAATTTTCTAGCATTTTCTTGGGAACCAAACGGAATCTGAAAAAGTTTGGGGGTTTTGAGAGCAGGACTCTCACCTTCGAACGAACGGTAGGGCATGGCCAAGTGTATAGATGTAGTCTGCGGCTGATTGAAGGGAATGAAGAGCGCTCAGAGATTGCTGTGTATATGATCGGTGATTGGTTGTTGATGATTCCAAAGGAAAGCAAAAATGGAAAATCCAGAAAGAGGAAGAAGAATAATAATTTGTGATTCTATGGTGAAAGTGTTTTTGCGTTTTTTTTTTTTAATTTAATTTTATTTCGAGCTCATTTGGCAGCACCATCGCCTCTCTATTGGTTTTTTATTTTTTATTGGGCAAATTACATATATCTCTCTCGAGATTTAACTAAATTACAGATATCTTCTTGAGATTTTAGAAATTACAAATACTTTCTTGAGGTTTATATTTTCATAACAAATTACTCCTTAAAGTTTATATTTTCATAACAATTTATCCTCTAATTTGTTATGCAAATATAACCTTTAAAGAGTATCTGTAATTTCTCAAAACTCAGGAGATATTCGTAATTTTATTAAATCTCAAGGGGTATATGTAATTTGCCCTTTATTATTTTATTTTTTAACAAAAAAAATTAACTTATAAATTATACGTGAAATAATTATTTTAAAATTGGTGCCGTCATATACATCATGAAATATTAATTAAGGTGTTAATATATATGTTATAATATTATCATTTTAAAATTATGACTGATTTATTATATAAAATTTTTAGGAAGATTTATTTATAAGTCTTTTTTCAAATACTTATGCTAGGCTAAGTCTTGTGTAATTTCTTATAGAGTCTTAAGTCTTATTTAGATAGGAATATATTCCACAAAATCCTTCATAAACGTAACATGACGTGACATTTACGTAAACGTAACGTAACGTAACGTGGCATCTACATAAACGTAACGACACCTATATAGACGTAACGTGACACCTATGCGTAACGTGACACCTGCATAAACGTAACGTGACACCTACATAAACGTAACGTAACGTGTTACATTACGTTTCACAAACTTAATGAGTTTTTATTTTTTTAAATTGAATGTGAAAATATTGCTGGTTTATGTTAGTGTCACGTTACGTTTCATATAAATATGATCTATGGTAACATTCAATTTCCTATATAGGAAATTGAATATTGCTTTAGATCATATATGTCACGTTAAGTTTATGTAGGTGTCACGTTAAGTTTATGTAGGTGTCACGTTACGTTTATGTAGGTATCACGTTACGTTACGTTTATATATATAGGAAATTGAATGTTGCCATAGATCATAGGTGTCACGTTACGTTTATGTAGGTGTCACGTTACGTTACGTTTATATAGATATGATTTATGATAACATTCAATTTCCTATATATAGTTTTACTATTATTTATGATATTAACAACTAATATTGAGGGTAAATGTGTCAACAAACTTCTCACAGGACTTATGGGAACATAAATTTTTTAGTAAGATCATATATAACATAAGTCTCCCTAATAAAACTTATAAATAATTTTCTCTGTATAATTATGTTATATTTATTAATATAATAATCGATACCTATAGTATTATTGTTTCAAAATATTTTGGAAACGTGATGGTGTAGCCCCGTGGGTCTGACTTGGACTCTCAGGTAGGATGGTTAGTGTAGCTATTTCCTCAATGGCCCACCATTTGCTCAAGCGGAAATGAGCCGTAGCTCGAGAGGGTCGAGCTCGAAACGGCTCGAAAATGGAAGAAGAGGGGAGAAAGAGAGGGAAGAGGAGGAGATAGTTTTACTATTATTTATGATATTAACAACTAATATTGAGGGTAAATGTGTCAACAAACTTCTCACAGGACTTATGGGAACATAAATTTTTTAGTAAGATCATATATAACATAAGTCTCCCTAATAAAACTTATAAATAATTTTCTCTGTATAATTATGTTATATTTATTAATATAATAATCGATACCTATAGTATTATTGTTTCAAAATATTTTGGAAACGTGATGGTGTAGCCCCGTGGGTCTGACTTGGACTCTCAGGTAGGATGGTTAGTGTAGCTATTCGCTCAATGGCCCACTATTTGCTCAAGCTAACCTAATAATTTAGAATTTGAAAAAAATATTTAGTTTATAAAATTGGATTGAATTAAAATTTTTAATTTATCTATTTTTTGGATTGGGGTGAGAAATTTTTTTTAGCTCAATTAACACGGCTCGTTCATTTATAAAATATTAATATAATTTTTTTATATTAATTAGTTATAAAATAAATTAAGAAAAAATAAAAATTAAAAAAAGTACATATATATATGCTTTTTTATAGGCTAAATTAAAACACTTTTCAAATATCATATATATTTTATAATTGAATTTTGTTAATACTTTAAATTCAAATAATTAATAAAAGAGTCTAAATAATTTAATAGTTTATTGAGACAAAAAGATAACAGCTCATATTTATTGAGTTAAGTGAGTTAGTTTAAAACTTAAACATTTGTAAAAACAAATGCGTTTGAAATGATTAAAGTAGGATCGAATGGTGGGCTTGGTTGAGATTGGAATAACATACCGTGTATATAGTGGGTGTTTGGAAAGTTGTTATTTTAGTAAGTTATTTTAATTTTTGATTATTTTAAGAGGTTAAATTTTTTATATTTGGGAAGATAGTTAGATTTTTTTTTGTAGTTGGATGTGATTTTTGTGAGAGAAAAAGTGAAATGATTATGAGTTATATGTGACATTTTGTCTTATTAGCTATTTTAGCCTATTTTGTCTTTTAGTATTCTCTCTGTCCCAAAATAATGGTCCCTTTTGGGAAATTCAATTTTTTTTGGTAGTACAATTATTGCCTTTGAAAAAAGTTGATTTTTCAAAATTATCCTTTTGATAATACATTTTTTGAGAATATCAATGCATAATTGTACTTTTTGTATTGTTTATTAATTTAAAAGAATGGCAAAATAGGAAATTTATATTATTTTTGTACTTATTTTTGAAAAGGGACTAATATTTTAGGATAATGAAAAAAGGAATAAGGAACTAATATTTTGGGACGGATGTAGTACTATTTTAGCCAAAAAAAAAAAAAAAAACTCTTTCCAAACACCCCTTATGGTGTTGACTCAAACCCAACCCATGCCTATGTTTATCCACCCTTAATTATAATGAGAAAGTTGAAATTTATATTTATATATATTTTTTTGTTTGTATATCATCATCACTTATTTATTTATTTTTTAGACATTGAACAAGAATTTGAATTACAACGAAAAGGAAACAACTGCTTAATTGATTTGAATCTTAAGCTTAGGATATTTTCACTATCGATTATTGGGCCAACTTGTCCGATAATGCACTTTCCGAATATTCGCGTCAAATTTTAAGTTCCGCAAGTCACAGCACGAATTGCGGACCATGGCCGTGTCCTTTTATACCCGTTAAACTCAAGCCCAGTCATTGTAAATGTCATAATCCAAATCTTATAACAAAGAAAATTCACACTTGACCTTAATTGTCAAGTAGAGAGGTGATGTGATGAAAAAAAGATAAAAAGATGAATTATTTTAGAGTTGCCAAACTTGACCTTAATTGTCATCCATAAAAATAGATGACGTAATGCATAAGAATTGATGTGATGGACAATTGGTGCTACTTTCAAAATAAAAAATTATTGTTATAATAATATCTATTGTTAATTATTTTTAAATTAAATAGGTTAAACCCTAAACCTTCTAAATTTTTTAAAGAAGTTTAAGTCAAAATCATACCTAAGTTCATTAATTCCATATAATACATAATCTAATTATAATTTGATTTGAGCCCAATTACATAAAGAGGGTGTTAAATGCTTGCTTTTTCAAATTGGGCCCATTAATAACAAAAGATATGTACAGGATCGCCCATAAAAAATAAAAATTCAATTAATCTCATATAAAAAACAAAGTATTTAAATATTATTCAGTTTATTTTATCTCTCTTTATATTTGTACATGATACATTATAATTTATACATAAGCTTAATCTAATAAAGTTGCACAATACCTGAGCGTTCATGAAGTGGTTAGGTTCAAGAAGACAACAATTATTAAAATTTTCAGTTAAATTGTGTACATAAGGTATGAAAATAATAATTCACCAGTACATGTAGATGCATTTAATATAAGAAAAAATATATTTTGTAATTTAATGTGGATACAAGAAAATATTTACTTATATATATTTATTATTTTTATTTTTTTAATACTTTTATGCTGATAAAAACTAATATTATGATTCTTACTTTCTTTTTAAAATTTTTATTAATAAATATTCACTCAAGAATAAAAAAATTCCAAGTCTCTTATGGGGTCCAAATCCGTCCTATATCGACCTACCTTATAAATGTGATATATCTACAAACTTTCAAGAGGTCTTTTTTAGTGAAGGAAGAACAAAACTGTGTATGTCACTGTGGTATAAAGTGGACAATATTTTGGAGCGTACTGTGGCAGTGGCGTGGTCCGCACAAATAGCGCTCTACCACATGAATCCACATGCTTGGAAGGCTAATGTAGGGATCTGAATCCATTCTACATCGATCCGTTAAGAACTCAACCTATTTTATAAGTGTGACATGCCCATAAACCTCTTAGTGCGTGCTAAGCAATGGGTGATCTGCACAAAGGCTAACTTCCACCACGTGGACCCACACCTCCCTATAACGCACATACTGTACACATACTTTTTTGTATGATTTTTGGATTTGAACACACCTTTGCAGGATAAAACTCGAGATATACGCCAAAACCCCACAAACGTGTTGAAGGATCTAACTAATGTACATGGACAAGTCATTTGAGACAGAGGGACTGGCATTGGCATTTTGTTATCTTCACTAAGTCAATTGTACTATTGAGAATTGTCACCAATGCTATAGCATAGTGAAGTTTGGAAGGTTATGGCAAATGAGTGGTGCGATTTGTTCACGATGGTTTTTTTTTCTTTTTTTTTTTCGGTTGTGTTGGCAAACAAAAATTTTATGAACTCAAGAATGCAAATTACATCGAGATAAAAGGATTGAGGAATGAAAAATATTCACTTGGTATAATTATTTTTCAACAATGCTATAAATCATGAAAATTAATTATAGAAATAGTTTTACCAACTTGCTAAAATTATGTGGACATTTATTACCGCGTTTAATAAATTGAAGGTGGCTGCTAGTCTTGGTTTATCGAGTCATTGTTACAAGTTAGTTACAATATTGGAATAGGAAAATTTTCGTGACTTTTCAAAGATAGAGATGCAGCTCTAAACGGTGTTGTGAATGAATTTAGTGGATTTTGTGGAATTTTCTTGTTAGCTTAATTTCCATGACTGGGAAATATAGTGTAGTGGTATGGAGACTTTCAAGCCTCTTCCTCTCCCTATAAATAGGACCAAGTTCATAGCGTTTTTGCAACATAAATTAGTAGATTGTTTCCTTTTTCTCTTCTCCATGGATAAGTTATATTTCTCTGGTGAATGGTCTTCCATGGTTGCCATAATGCTACTCCTTGGGGTATTAATGGCTTCCCTGTACCAAACAGGTATCTCTCTGTCTCTCTCTCTCCCCATTGTAGGGTTTCTATTAAAATTCGAAGGTTCTGTGGGGAGAGCTAAGAAACAAGTGTCATTATTAGATATTGATGAATATTATTTACTTGTTTGGTAAATGTTTTTTTTCCTTTCAAGCAGGCTTGCCTCTAGTCCATGGGTCCAAATTTGCACTACTCTGGGCCCACTATGATTGAACTATTCGATTGTAAAACTGGTCAAACAAAAAATTTAATTTGATCAAATTTCAACAGGTGTTTGATCGTTTCGCAATTTGTATAAAATATTTGAACGGCTAAGATGATTTTAAAAAGGTCAAATTACACTGGTGATCCTTATATTTTACGTTTTATGTCATTTTAGTCTTTACACTTTCAATTGATTCAATTTTGAACTTTAATTTTAAATTTTGTTTCAATTGATAATATTATTAGCGTTTTTTTTTTGTAAATTATTACTAAATTGGTTGAGATTAACTAGCTTAGTTGAGTAAATTTATATTTCTGCCATTAAAAATATGACACGTGACACTTATGTGCGTATTTTTTTTTTATAAAAACATACTATGAGTTATAATTAATTGGACCAAATTGAAACAGAATAATAAATTTAGGGTCAACATCGAGCCAATTGAAATTATAGAGACTAAAATGACACAATAATTAAAGTACAAGAACTATCATCTTAATTTGCCCTTTTAAAAATATACTTCGTCCCTTTTTTTCATGCAAATATAAATTGATCATATGACTACCAAAAGTTTTAAAAACAGTTTTTAAAAACAGTTTTCAGAAAATTTTACACTCTTATTTTTCGTGTTTTTTTGTTTTTACTGAATTTTTTAAATATTTTATGCAAATTTTTTACTTTTTAGACACACCTAACATAAATACACCTAAAAAGTAAAAAAATTGTAAAAAAAATCTTTTAAAAATTCACTAAATACCAAGAATACAAAAAAATACAAGAATTTAGTACATTTTTTTGTATTTTTATGTATTTCTTAATTTTTTAAAATATTTTTTCATAATTTTTTTACTTTTAGACACATCTAAGTAAGGTGCATCTAAAAAAGTAAAAAAAATGTTTAAAATTTTAAAAATATTCACTAAAAATGAAAAAAATACGAAAATCAAAAAATTCAATTTTTAAAAAATTTAATTCAAAAAACTCAAACCAAACAGTGAATGTTTTTATGGATGACCTGCTCAATAAATTTTACAATTTTAATATTTTAGATCACCAAGACAGGCTCGTGGTGGACCATAATAGTGCAGACTACACCAACACCACGCCCATCATCACAACTATTAAAAAATTAGTTTCAAAGTCACAGGCACACATGAAAAAAATTGTTTTTTTCTTTCTCGGAAAATTTTCTTCTTTCAACTATTGTAAGCAATTATAGTACAAACCAAAGTTATGACTGTTACTAATTTATTTACATAATGCAGATGCCCAAATAGGAGTTTGTTATGGAGCAAATGGTGATAATTTACCATCTAGGCAAGATGTTGTAGCTCTTTACAACCAAAATGGCATCCAAAGAATGAGACTCTATGACCCAGACCAACAAGCTCTCCAAGCCCTTGGAGGCCCCAACATTGAGGTCATGCTAGGTATTCTAAACCCTAATCTCCAAACACTTGCTTCAAGCCAAGCTGAAGCAGATACATGGGTCCAAAACAATGTCAAAAACTTTGGCAATGTCAAAATCAAGTACATCGCGGTTGGCAACGAAGTCGATCCGTCTTCCAGCACAGCTCAATTTGTTGTCCCCGCGATGCAAAACGTGCACACCGCCATTGTCAACGCAGGGCTTGGAGGCCAAATTAAGGTTTCAACTGCCATCGCCACTGGATTGCTTGGAAACAGCTTTCCTCCATCACAAGGCTCTTTTAGGGCCGATATTCGATCATCCTTCATCGACCCAATTATTAGTTTCTTGGTGAACAATGGTTCCCCATTGCTTGTAAACTTGTACCCTTATTTTAGTTATGCAGGCAACACGAATAGCATTCATCTTGATTACGCTCTATTCACATCTCCTTCGGTTGTGGTGACTGATGGCTCGCTCCAATACCAAAATCTGTTTGATGCAATGTTGGATGCTGTTTACTCCGCGCTTGAGCAGGCAAACGGTGGCTCTTTGGAGATTGTTGTGTCTGAGAGTGGTTGGCCTACGGCTGGTGGAACTGATACAACTGTTGACAATGCAAAGACTTACAATAACAATTTGATTCAGCATGTGAAAGGAGGGACACCGAAAAAGCAGGGAAAGGCTATTGAAACTTACATTTTCGCTATGTTTGATGAGAATCAGAAGACTGGAGATGAAGTTGAGAGACATTGGGGGCTCTTTTCACCTGACAAACAGCTTAAATATCCAGTCACCTTCAATTAAGAAGAGCAAAGTGAAGTTAATTTGATATGTATTACACTCTGTTGAATAAGGCTTGATTGTAATTCTTTTCACAAAGAGGCAATTGGCAAAACATTTATATGTTTATGAAGAAGATGCCCATATGAAGGGTAATAATAAATAAAGCATTGCTATTTTTACTTTATAAGATTATAGTCCATTACACAATTAGTACATGAACATAGTGGTGGATCAAGAAAGTTTTTCGTCAAATTTCAATTTGGCGACGAGATTCGCATGAATTTTGAATATGAACGAGAAGTTACATTTCATAGCAATGAGACTCATGTTCAAGTATCATTGCTTGTAAAGGAGTGGCTAATCCACCAACCTATCCCTATTTACCTTGATTGACTTCTTTTCTTTTTCTGTTTTTGAGAAAAAGGAGAATTATAGTAAAATTGAAAAAAAAAAATTACAACACCTTCATAACATGTAATTAACTCCTTGACAAACAAAAATGTATCAAACTAAATCAACCACTCCTACAATTTTGAGTTTCTAATCCCTTAACATTATGTTTAGTTAGGGAATTTAGAAAAAGATTTGGAAAGGAAAAGGAAAAATGTGTGTGAAATTAAATGAAATATAGGTATATTTTATTCACATTTCACCTACTTTTTTTCTTTTTCTTTCTAAATCCCTTTCTAAATCTCCCAACTAAATACAGCGTAAAAGAAATCATTAATGCTGTGTTTGGTTGGCGGATTTAAGGAGGGATTTGGAAAGGGAAATGAAAAAGGTAGGTGAAATGTGAATAAACATACCTATATTTCATCTAGTTTCACACACCTTTTATCTTTGCCTCCCCAAATCCCTCCCCAAATTTCTCAACCAAACACAGCGTAAAAGAATATTCTGTTAGGCTCTAATCCTAATAAAATGAGTTTGGGAATTCATTAATTAATAGGGTATGATCAAGTTTGGAAAAACAAAAACACTCAATAGGATTTGGGTAAGGGAGGGGGAAGGGTAACTGTGCGTATTGGATTCTGCACTAGATGAAAGTGGATCGGGGCCCTGCACTTGGTTGGACTATCCAGGGACTGGGATTCCTGCCAAAAGAAGCACCGTTAGAGCTGCCCGGCCGGGGTTGGCCGGATAACCCCCCCGGTGTGGGAATCAGTGATTGGAGAAGAGGTGTATGTAGAATTGAATCTCCCTCTATGTATGATTTTGCTTGGAATAGTTCAGTTACCTTCAATGTGAAGTTCATGTTGTATATATAGTGTTCCTCGCTTGCTTCTCAAGGTGGGTTCATGGAGCTTGGATGTTGCCAGGTGTCTTTTAGCATTGGTCAAGATGGGGGACCACCTGGTAGTTATCATTGAATGCATATACTCATTGTAGTCATGCTGATAACAAACCACATTCCTTTGATTCAACAACTTCCGTGATTCTAGGTGTAGGGGACCAGCTGAGGTGGCAACTTGCACATGCACATATTCATAACTTCCATGTTTTCTTGTAGGGTTTCCTCAGCTCGGTACCGATGTGCCCCAGCTCAGCATCATTATGCCTTGTCTCAGCCTTTTACAGGATCATTCATGGAGATGGGCTGACCCATTCGGATATCTTTGTGTAGGCTCGGCCTATTTTCTGCTCGGCCCATAGGTTCAGTCTCCTAGCTCAGCTCGGCCCAGCCCAGCACCACGGCTGGACTAGCCTTTCCACCGCGGGTTGGGCCCAAGTGCGTGAGGACTTGGGTGGACTATTGATCATGAAGTTGGGCTCAATTGGTTTGTCTATATACTCATCTAACCCACTTGGATTTGGACTTCAGTGGATTGGGCCGGCCTAAGGCTTGGACCCGACCCATTTCATATTTAGCCCCTTCATTTGCCCCATAGCTCACGCTAAGATTCCCCTTGGGGGGAGCTATTGCTCTGCTTCCCAAGCGTCGCGTCGTTTCGGTTTTTCCCAGTTCGGCCTTGGTGACGGTTCAATCCTGACACACAATCCCTGTATGTGTCTTTTCATGTTGACACGTGGCGATGTGAGATAGGTGTGCAGAGATAATGCGTCGATTCCATACCGAAGGTCATGCTCCGTGTACCTGCGCGCCGGCTGGTGCAATTAATGCTCTGGCTGTCAATACAAATTTCTTTATCTGCTTTTTCGTTCCCCTAAAGAGTTTCAAAGAGAGAGAAAGGACTCTTCCCGTTCCTCTGAACTAGTCCCGTTGGAGCTTCTGCTCAGACTTTTTTTTTTCGCCACTGATCTTGCTCTGCTGCCACTGTTCTAGTCTTTGTAAGTCCCCTTGTGATTCTTCTTCTCTCGCTTCTTTCTGTCTTAATCATCTTGTTTGGCCCACTCGCTGTCTGTGTTCCATACTCTGTTATCTGAGTCCTACCTCTGTCTCATTAGGTTTGTTAAATGGGAAAGTTTCGCTCGCTAGTTGATACCCCCGGGGCCATGGCTATGTTCCGCTTGGACTATAATATTCCCGACGACGTTACCCTTTCGTTGGCAAAAGTGGACGCCAAGCATATGGGTACGAGGAATACCGTCGCTTTTCCCATTGCGGCCATAGTCGAAGAAGGGGTTCGGTTTCCTCTTGATCCGTTGGTGCGCCGGTTTCTCCATCAAGTCCAGTTAACCCCAATGCAAGTATCTGTGAACCTTTTCCATGTTGTTTGCGGCGTATCCGCCCTCAATAGACGATTGGGTTTGAACCTTGACATATGGGATATCTTAGGTTATTATACTATTTCTCATAACAAAGACCACAACACGTATTACTTGCGTGTTCGCTCGTTTGATTGCCATTTGGTTACTGGGTTGTCCGATTCGGATAAACACAACGATGATTTCTTACAAGTTGGTGGAAACTGGGAGTTTCTCGTCGGAACTGAGTTTCAGACTGAGCGGATGCCCCAAAAAGACGGTTACCCAGGTTCGGGCCTCTCATTCTAATGCCTTTTGTATTTCTTACTTTATTTTGGGTGTTGCTCTAATGGATCACTTCTTTTTTGCAGAGGCCTCTTATTTCCAACGAAGGCTGAACCGAGAGAATGCTGAAGCCATAAAAGCGGCCCTGAGGTATAAAAAGAGATTTGCGTCCGAGTTATTGGAATACCAGTCTACTTACCATTCTACTATTCCAAAGAAGGCAAGGCTCGTTGCTTCCCTTTTGGACTCTGATACCGAGACTGACATGTCTCTCACTCCTTTGGTCACGAACCGTTGTAGGAGTCAGGGTGCACTTTCTGAGAGAGCGCCCTCCTCTGCCCCCAGTTTCGCAGGGGGCGGGTCTGTGGCGAAGAGAACGGTGTTGGTGGATTTAGAGGCTGAGGCTTTCGGAGCCTCCGATGTTTTGAAAACCCCTCCAGAAAGGACCGAGGCGAAGAGCCTAATGGAAGTGAAGATGGAGATGGGAGCCTCTGGGACCCCTGCGACTGCTGCCGAACCCTCAGCTTCGGTCGCTACGCGAGCAAAAAAGAGAAGAAGAGAGGCTGGCAAAGCAGTGGTGGAGGAAGCTTCTGAGGATCTTGCTGAGGATGAGACTTTTGAGAAATGAGAGCCGCCAATGTCGCATAAGGGCAGGCTGATTTCCACCTCTGATTCAGTTGTTTCTTCGCAAGATTTTGCCTTTGATTTGACTAAGTTTTTGTTTATGCCGGTTGACATGGCCGACCATAATGGGCCTCGTGATATTCCTATCCTGAAGGGGACCCTTCAGATGACGACTGCTGTAAGTATTTCCTCGTTTTACTTGTCTTTATTGTTGCGTTGCTATCTCCTTTTCTCTTAATTCTTCGTTGTCCTTTGCAGTGTATCCAGAGAATGCATCTGTCTATTACCCGTGCTGAAGAGCTAGAAAGGGCCGTGCTGGAGGCCGCAATGAACACTGAGAGACTGACGGTAAGCTTGGAGACAGAGAAGGAAAGACGCCGAACCGCGGAGAGGGAAGCATTTCGTTTGAACAAGATTTTTGCTTCAGCTGAAAAATCGAAGGAGGCTGCTATTGGGACACAGGCTCAACTCGAGGGGAAGGTGGCCGAACTGGAGGCCGTGATTGTCGTGATGGCTACCGAGCATTCTGCGTTGGAAGCCAGACACTGGCAACAAGGTTGGGACGAAGCTGGGGCTGCCTATAAGGAAGAGGTGCTAGTGCTGCGAGATAAGCTCTTTCTAAAGGGTTAGACGAGTGCTTTGATTGTTGCGTTGGTTCCTGAAGGCTCTTCCCTGTTTCAGGATGTCCCCGTTCCTTCGAGATCCTTGGGTTCGAAGACTGTTTCCACCCCTGCTGTTCTTCCAGCCGAAGTTTCCCCAGAAGCTGATTCTGCAAACAAGACCTAGGACAGTAATGTTGCTGCTGAAACGGTGGATGTTGAAGGGATTGAAACCCTGGAGACCGAAGCCGCGGAAGATGTGGTTAAGGAGGCTTCTACTTCTCTGGAAGTTGGAGCTGCCTCTACTTTTCCTCCCCCAGACGGCCTAGACAAAATTGTTGATGCTACTCTTGAGTTTCCCTCTGTTAATGAAAGTTGATGTTGAAAGGATTTGAACTTTTTTGCTTTTTTGTTTTGATGTATTGTGGCTCGGTCTCCATGACGAGCTTTCTTTTTGCACTTGCTAAGACAATTTTTTTTTTCTCTTTTGTTTTCTTTGCTGCTGGTTATGGGGCCATCTGTGCCTTTTGTTGGATGATAGAATTTTCTCTTTTAACTTGCAATCTGATGCTGTTTGGTTTTTATGTCTGAATGTTTTCTATACTACCTGCCCCTGGCCAAGTACTATTGGGACCTCGGGGCCGAATAGATGCTCGGTCTGGTTCTGTATTGCTTTTAAATAGATGCTCTGTCTGATTCTGTATTGCTTGCCCCCGGCCGAGCATTGTTGGGGCCTCGGGGCAGAACGGATGCTCGGTGTGACTTTGTACTGTTTACCCCTGGTCGAGCACTGTTGGGACCTCGGGGCTAAATTGATGCTCGGTGTGACTAACGGATATGTGGTATGGCTGTGCTTGAGTTCATAAGTGGGTCTTACTTAGGTCCAGGTTGGTTTTGAAAGAAAACAATTGTTTGCCCCTACCTGGAGCTAAGTAAGATTGGTACTGAAGATTGTGCTCTTAGATAGAACTGCTTAAGTTTATTGCAACTTTGATAGCGCAGATGCACTTGGATGAGATAAAGGCATGAAGAG